TGCTAAAATATTTTATGAATTGGATGTCCTGAATTTTGCGTCACATGTATGGTAGCACTACAGAGCGTAAGGCCGTGACCGGTCACAACCGCGACCATATCATGAAAATAACGGCAAAACAACTTTTTACAGATTTTAAAAACAATTTTATTTATTATATATTATTAATTTTTAATCAATCTATTATATGATTTATTAAAATAATTATATATATCAATCAATGAGATAATTGTTATATACTTTCAATAATAATCAACTAAATGTATTTGGCCCATTAATCATACACACTTTTACCAGAAACTTAAAATAACTGCCCTAATCATTTTCATTAATAAAACCCATCAACTCTAACAATGAATAATGAAGTATCACAGACACTAGCATGAAACAGCAAAATTCTGCTGTTTAGTATTATGGGAGATAAAAACCAGACCCTTTACCAAGATTGAAACAGAATTGTAACTCAAGAGTAAGTGTCATTCTACCCTAGTCCAGTGATATTCAGGAAGACCTATTAAGTGCAATTATGACGGGTCTTCAGCATCTTAAAAATGAGGTGCTGAGTTAGTATAGTATTATATTGGTGCTTTTGGAAGTAGGTGGAGAACAGTTGAATTTAATTCCATCCATTATGCAGAATGGAGGAGAGCTGGAGTAGACAATGGGCTATTGAAGCACCATTTACCCTTCCAAATTGCATGTTCATGTTGTTTTCAAGTCAGACTTGACAACTTCCAGCTGCCTTCTAAATTGCCAGTTGAAAAGACTTCAGTACCATATACCACATACATAACATTCGGCAAATTGTACAGGTGAGCAGAGTGCAATAACTGCCTTGGACTTTTGAACCATGATAAAACCTTTGATTTCATTCACTGTTTAGGGTAACTTTATATCCTGTAAACATTTCACAGCTGCATTGAAAGACATTTTCAAGCTAATAGCATCTATCAAAAATTCTTTGATATGCCAATCATATAGTCTTTGAAGCAGTATCACTGGAGGACGGTAACACTATGCTCAATGACATCAGTAATGTCTCAATAAATTAGTCTTATAATAAACATCTCAATAAATTAGTCTTATAATAAACATCTCAATAAATTAGTCTTATAATAAACATTAATAAGATTAAAAATTTGTTTAGTTTTTTGTTCAGAAAACTACAACACATCTCATACAGTTAATCTTTTGCCTCCTCTTCTATCAAAAATAACATCGACCAGTAACAACCTCTTGAACTGAGACATGGTCTTTCACTGAGTGTTCTATGAGGAAGCAAGCTATGCTTAGGTAGCACATTTACATTTCATGTATAATGATGATACTGTTAGTTAATATCACCATTAAAATTGTTACTAATTTAAAATATTATGTTAATCTCTTATAGGCAAATTATAAACACTGTTATCTATGTGAATGAAAAGAATGTGTTCTCCTATAAGGTAGTACATAGTAATTAGTAATTTGTTAGAGATCCACACAAATAAATAAATATCTGAGTTCAATAACTCTTCATTCAGGATCTCAGGTAGATAAATTAGAAACTTAAAAGTTCATACAATCAAAATTGAAGTTACCTTAATTAGTAAGACATTTATTTACACAATTTAATTTACATACAAACTGACAAAAGAGGTCAAATAACCTTCAAATTATAATAATTTAAAATTGCAAATTTTGTACAACTGACTTCAATATAAATTATTAAGAATAACTGAAAAACTATTAGCCAGACCTTGATCAAATTTATATGGGAACACATGTGAAGCACCAGCTTTCAATTAAAAAAAGAATCATCGAAATCGGTTCACCCTGTGAAAAGTAATGAGGTAACACACATAAAAAAACATACAGTCGAATTGAGTACCGGCTCCTTTTTGAAGTCGGTAGAAAATATGTCAACCAAAGTACTAGTATTTGATGATTTATAGGATAAATTATTGAAGTTATCCAACAATTATTAATGAAATAACTTTTAAAAAACAATGTGGGATTAACACAAATCTTGCAAATATCTCAAAGAATTGAAACTGCAAGATTGCAATATCTATTTAAATGCATATATAATATCTCAGGTGTTTGAGGTGTGCAATAATGGAGGCTGGGCTTTACTGTTGACTTGACAAGATCATGCTACATGCTAGTTACATGTGTACCAACATCTTACAAGACAACAGGGAGTCACCTACTATACAGCACCACCTGTTAAAGCAAATAACAGCATGATGTGACTCAATTCACTTATGTGACTTAAGAATATTCAACATAGTGCCATCAGGAAGTCACCTATCTTACAGCACCGCCCACTAAGCAAATAACAGCAGGTCTTTTATGTGACTTAAGAATATTCAATATAGCATAAAACCTAGGGTCTAATTGTTAATACAGACCAGTAGTAGTTAAGTTACTTTAGCCTAGTATTCCTGTGTACTCACATCGTCACAGTAGTTAAGTTAACTTGTAAGTTAGAAAATAAAAGTAATATAGGAAAAGTTTTCATCTCCTTTCACTTCGCCCTCCCTAAGCAGCCGCAAACTTAAGTTACTCTCATTAAATTTGGTATATTTACACATGTGTAATGGCATGTTTTACTTAAATCTTTAGATTAATATCAAGAGCAATTTTTGTGTTCATTTTTGAACATATTTAATCCAGCTACTCATGTGTAAATTTGGTACAAAACAAAAACATAAATCTAGGGTGGATGCCCCTAATACCAGCCACACCCCTAATTCCAGCCTTTTCGCCTTTTTACTTCGTAAATAAGATTTCTAGTAGTCTTACTACAAATAATGTCTCCTAAAAAATTCTTCGTAACTAGAGGAAAGTATATTTCAAATATTACCTCACAGTTTTAAACCTAACAGTATTAAATTAAAAATCAAAAGATGTACGCGATGAAAAATGCTCATTTTCCTAATTTTTTGACAAGTAATGATCCCAGTAAAATTATGCTTACTTTACATTATCTCCTATATAGGCTTTTTGATTTGTATGAATATGACTATAGACATAGTAATGTAGTTATTTTTGTTAAAATTTACAAGTTATTTATTTTCTTTTAGTGGAAATTAATGGGGTTGTAATTAGATATATGAAATGTATGGAGTACATAATGTCAGCCGCCTGGCTGTTATTTGGTTTGACGTACCAAATAAGAAGTACCTAATTTCAGCCACGTAATATAAATCAGGGCTGACATAAACTGGAATAAATACCGTTAATTAGATCATAACTTATTTTATAGTTAAGGGAGTTATGATCAATTCATCTGTTTTAAAATTGGTTTTAGATTTTAAAGTTTAGCAAAAGATGTACACTAGCTTTTCTATCTGACATTCGGTGTATATTAAGAACACCTTATGTATTCAATTATTTTTTGAGAAAGAACATTAACAAGCAATAAATATAATATATACAAGCAAAAACTATAACTTAGTAATACTAATTATAACTTAGAACATAAATGAAAAACTCATGACAAGGAAAGTGGTTTAGGACCAGGCTTTGCGGCAGTCTTTGGAGGAGGATGTTCCGTAATGGACTTGTGTAAGGTTGTAATGACAATGATGATTTGAAAACTTGGATGATTAAATTATTAGAAATCGATATACTACATAATATTTTATCATAATTTGCTTTAATTTCTTGAATTGCTTTAAACTAAAACAGTAAGTTAACTAGTAAAACATTAAAATGAAATAATGTTGTACATACATACATACATATAATCACACCTCTTTCCCGTAGGGGTAGGCAGATACCACTTCTTTCCACTTGCTACAATCCTTACATACTTGTTTCGCTTCGTCCACTTTCATTATTCCATTCATACATGCTCTACAGTTTAAGGTACTCTTGACCTGGCCTTTTGTCATATATGATAATAATGTTGTCGTCTGCCTTAATACATATCCTATACTTATCACATGCAGATTCAAAATTGAAAGTTGTTACGAATTTATTACTGTGCCTCTAAAACTTACCTACAATAGGTACTTACAAAAAACTCAAAAGGCACATCCCTATGCTATGCTGGCATTAAGTATACAAAAGGACGACATTCGGTACAGGGTGGCTGGAATTTGAGCCATAACGCCTCTTTTTGCTTATTGTCGTTTTTAAAATTGTTCTTCAAATAATATGATTGTAAATAAATGTTCATTATATTTTTAGATAAATAACCTATCGATTAAAACAAATGTTTAAAATATTGCACCATAATTAAAATAGCAGGAATTTTTAAAGTTGAAGTTGGCACTAAAAGGCTGGTAATAGGGGCATCCACACTATAGTATATTACATTACCTGTAACAATATGTGAATAAAATTCAACATATTATTTCTCTAATAATTCACAATCCATAGAATTGTAGGTCAATTGGGGCCAAATGGAATATAATTGAACTATGAAAAGGCAGGCTATTAATAAAAATTAATATTAGCTACCCATTGTTAACAATACTGATGTTATTGGTATTTTGTTTCACACACACATACACACATAATAACTATTTTTTAAATGAAAATGAGGAGTAATATTTTTAACATTTTTGCACCAGTCATAAATAGTAATAATATGAAGCAAGTTATATTGTACCTAAATTTATGGATTATTTAAGTCATAATATTACACATAGCACATATTTTATAAATCACTTTCAAGTTGAAAAAACAACTAAGACAACAAATGAAGCTAGAATTCCCTTTCGAAATATGATAAAAATGATTAAATATAATTTCTCTTAACTAATAATACAAATTTAGTAATCATTGAAAAGTATAATATCCTTGTTAATATCTTTTCATCAGTTTATTATTTGTAACTAATAATGACCAATCTAAAAAGAGCACTTCCTTTGTTTTAAAGAAAGAGTTTCATACACATGAACAAGGACAAAAAAAAACAATACAACAACAAAGACTTGTAATAAGAAATTATGTCAATAATGTGTAAAGAATTGCAGCAAACTGTGCAAGCAATAATTAATATTTACCTCTATACTTCTTGTAGCAAATTCCACTCCTATTGTGGATTTTGATTCTAGGTTGAATTCATTTCTAGTGAAACGTGAAAGAAGACTGCTTTTACCCACCCCTGAGTCTCCTATGAGAACAACTGTAACAAAAACAATTGTGCTAAATGAGAAACATGAATTAAAACATCTCGAAATTAGATGTATACACAGTGAAAGTTATGCCCCCATATTACAATTGTGATTAGATCGTACGATTAAGTACAAAGATGAGTCATGAACAAAAAAATCGAGAAATCGATCTTAATTGATGCATCAGCTGATGATGTCAATGGACGCTTTTTATTACTTTATAGATGCAAACACAAGAAAGTTATTTTAAAAATTAAAAATTACAATTAAGAATATACTTAGTTTCTTAAAATTCCAAATTAGAATAATATTTTCTTCTACGTCATTACTAGTAATACAAAGAATATATTTCAAGAAACAAGGTGCATTAATAATAATATGCCTATCAACTGTTATTTTCTATTGTTTAAAAAAGGGCAACTTAATTTAATAATTCATCAGAAACTCACCTTTGAACAAATAATCGTATTCATCCTCTCTTGTACCCATTTTGATTATCTACTTCTTCGTTCGACGTCAAAATCGGGCAACTGTTAACGTAGATATATTTATACAAACATAAAATTATTGGACACTAGAATATCACAGGCTCATGAAACACTACACAGCTTCTCAAATATCACTTTCGTTACAGGATTTATTAAATATATACGGGTTAAATTAAATAAAATCTAAATTGGTAAATTGTCACTGGGACAAGATGGCGGATTTACGCTAAGGGTATTAGTGTTCTGTGATTTACGCCCCTATTGCTGCGTTCGGAAACACCAAACATAACAATTTTCAGTACAGATAATGTATAAAGCACAATAAATCTATATGAAAACTTTTTTGTCTATGATAATAATAATAATAATGTCCTCCAGATCAAATTTCGGTCACGGCAGCCAGTCTCAACGGAGACTAGCAATCGTGACAGGACAGGATTATAGTGCCCAAATGTATGCGCAAGCACAGGTGCACTATCTATTCCCTCACTCTCATAGTCCAATGGCACGGTAAAGTTTACCGGGTAAACCAACATGACCGGAGAGAGATCAGGCCCAGAACCAACGGCTTTACGTACTTTCCGAGGCACGGGGGAAAGACACCGCCAACCTCCTGACTCCGGACAGCTACTGGGAATTTCTTGATGCTCAAATAACTCTCAAGAACAACAACTCAGAAAACTCAATAACTATATAATGAGGTCTTTGATAATATACAGGTGTCCCGGTAATGGTAGATAATCTGGTACGTACGTGTTCGGGAGGGGAAGAGGTGGTCTCTGTTCCCTAAAAAAATTCTATCCCGAACGGTTCGCGCTCTACGCCATGTAATAATTAAATTAAAATTCCGTAAATTTGTACTTCTGCTCACATTTGTGAACATCACGTCCGCAGGTTGATGCCTAGATCGGATTTTTTTTTTAATGTGTTCCCTAATAACAATGTTTCTATATTACCCTTAAAAGTTTTCAACTACTATGGGTAGTATTTTACAAGACGGCACTAAACATAAGTTTTAACATTTTACTTTATTTAACTGCTAAATTTGAGCAACTGTGGTAAAAAATACGTAAGTATGGGACCTGTGTGGCCTACTATTTAAAAAGTTTGCCTACATCATGAGGATTCTAAAACAGTAGCATACCATGTACCTAATGTCATTACTTACTGAGCTACAGCCGTTAATGTATAAAAGTAGGGATTTCATTACAAAATTATTTGCAGATAGTTTTTTTAACATTGCATGTATTTATTAGGTAAGAACATCTGTCGCCCTTGAAAATATTACTTTACTACCTGCCGGCCTCGTTTGGACGAATTGTAAGCTCTGGGACAGTGATGGTGGATAATCTGGTATGTTCGGGCGGGAAAGAGGTGGTCTCTATTCCCTAAAAAAATTCTATCCCGAACGGTTCGCGCACTACGCCATGTTTTATAAAATTCCGAAAATTCGTACTTCTGCTCACATTTGTGGACATCACGTCCGCAGTTTAATGCCTAGATCGGATTTTTTTCTTTTAATGTGTTCCCTAATAACGATGTTTCTAAATTACCCTTAAAAGTTTTCCACTACTATGGGTAGTATTTTACAAGACGGCACTAAACATAAGTTTTAATTTTTTACTTTATTTAACTGCTAAGTTTGAGCACCTATGGTAAAAAAAAACGTATGGGGCCTGTGTGGCCCACGATTTAAAAAGTTTGCCTAAATCATGAGGATTCTAAAACAGTAGCATTCCATGTACCTAATGTCATTACTTACTGAGCTACAGCCGTTAATGTATAAAAGTAGGCATTTCATTACAAAATTGTTTGCAGATAGTTTTTTTAACATTGCATGTATTTATTAGGTAAGTACATCTGTCGCTCTTTAAAAATTTTACTTTACTACTTGATTTCCTTGTTTGGATGAATTCTAAGCTGTGTGAGTGAGAAAAATGGTGCTTAGGATTAATGTGAGTAAAAAGGATCGACAGATTCTCCAATTCGTGTTTGGTTATTGTTAAATTAGTAACAGATTGACACATCTTCGTATCGCCAATTCGAGTTGCGTAATTCTAGTTCAATTTGAGTTACCTACATGAATTTCAACTCGAGGCGAGTTTCTTTCGAGTTAGCACAGCTCTACTCTCACTTATAATTAATTATCCCCGCATTCTAAGACTTAAATATTGACGTTATGACTTTTGGGGCGTTTGGGAAAAATTATGAGTGAATTGTTACAATGCGCGCGCACACCGACAAATAAAAAAGACACCATGAAGTTGTTACGATAAGCGCGCACACTGACAGTTAAAAGCAACAACGTCAGTGGGTATTTGTCTCTCAAGTTTTTTTTTGTTTTGTTACGCTAAAGAAGTATAACTTCCTACGTGCGTACATAAGGAAATACACACTTTTTTATAATAAATTACTAAACAATAAGAAACGAATCCTAATCCATCTCAAACTAAAAAAAATCTAATTACATTAGGACTAATAATCAATAAAACTATTGAAAAAACAAACAATAATACTAAAATAATCGATTTAAATTCAATTCTTGATTTAACGAAAGCAATAATTTTAAGAATACCTATTTTACTTTTTATTTTCATCTTAGTGGTTCAAAGCTCAATTAGTAAATGCATTTTATAGTAGCTTATCTTAGAACCAAACTCATTACGTTGCAGAGACTAGTTTTTAAAAAATAATAGAATAGAATAATTTTTTTATTCAATATAGATTACATTTAATTCTTCTTTAGTAATTCCGAGAAAAATAGTGGATTCAACAAGCCTCAGTTCCTCCCTATTTAAAAACACATTGGTATTTACCTCTTTAACATTTTTAGGTGGGGTGAATTTAATACATTACGTTTTATTACCATATAATTATAAAAGCAAATTATTGACGTTAAACCAGGGTACTACTTTTGATATCATATACTTAGAATATACTTACGCCAGTATAATCTATGTTTGATATAACATAATTCATTCCTCATACTTTAATAATTGCCTTTTAAGTCAGAAAATTAACGATGTATTTTCAACAAATAAAACAATATCATGGTTATTCCCTACCAAGTAATGTAGGTAAGTTATGAGTATAAACTGAGAATAGGAAGGGGCCAAGAATTGAGCCCTGTGGAACACCCATAAATACTACTGTACCAATTCGGAAGTACCCGTCACATTAATCACAACCGTTTGTGTTCTTTTATTTAAATATGATGTTATAAGTTTGAGTGCAGTGATATGTTTTTACACCATAATGTGGCTTTCTGATTAATGTCTCACGGTGAACGCAGTCGAAAGCCTTGGAAAGATCATAAAATATACCCAAAACATCCTCTGAATACTACCATGCACAGAAAATATGCTGAATCAGCTCAACATCACGATCGGAGAGAGATCAGGCGCAGGACCAACGGCTTTACGTGCTCTCCGAGGCATGGGCGTGAGACACCGCCAACTTCCTGACTCCGGGTAGCTACTTAGAATTTCTTGATGGAAAAACTCAACGACCCGGGATTCGAACCTGGGACCTCATGATCAGCAGTCGCACTACTACAACCACTAAACCAACGAGGCAGTTAATCATAAAATAAATTTATATTTTCTTTGAGTAATGACTCGGGGACAGCAGGGGAGGAATTGAGTGACTTTGTAGTCAAAATCGCAATGTCGGTAAAATGTTGTTCAAAAGACGTTGCAACATCTTCATCTTATGATTTCGTTAAAATTTAATTGAAAGTTTGAGTTGTGCAGTTTCATCGTGCTTGGGTTTTGCTATTAAATAAACTCCGTCATTTTACTTTTATTAGAAGCATTCTTAATTTTGTTTCTTGAATGTAAAGACTTGGGCTGTAGAACACACTTTTTTAAATATTTTGGAATATTTTTCTTAAATATTCTCTATAAAAAAAAAAAACTATATTTAAATGATATTTCATTGTAAAGGTCATAATATAGTTTTTGTCTACACCTATGGGTTCTTACTGTCGCCCAATCATTAAATAATTTGCGACTATTGATACATAGAGTGACAAGTGATCAAGCAGGCCAACCTATGTTGAAGTGGCTATTGTGGACGTCTCCAATGAGTACTCCACCACCTAGATTGTGCAGTCCTTCGATACCCTTGCAATGGTAACTCAGGCCAAAAATATTTGCAACGCCGTGCTTGCATCAGAGTATAAACATTTCTTAAAAGTCTCCAAGTCATATTATCCCCCTCGGTTTTAGAACCTTGTGGAATATTAAAAGACTCACTGTAATTTTTTTTTTGACTTTGCTCCCTTGAGAGAATGGCAAATCAGTACTGTCAGGGGTTTCTTGTTTAGGTTGGGGTGACATCAGATATGACTGATATATGGGAATGAACATTTACATAATTGTTCGCGCAAAACACTTTCAAGGATTGACGCGAGACGGCGCTCGGCGCGGTGCATTCATACCGGTTTGACTTTCGGTCGTGCGAAAAACGCCCAAGGGCAGTCAGTCGTCCATAATCGGTGCTGACGTGAGCACGCGGTCCATTCTGTTAGCGAACTCGGAATAATTCGGCGCGGCCAGTAAATATACGGTCTATCATTGTGACGCGCATTCCTACTGGAGAGCTTCCCGGGACTTATTGTGTCTGACTCAAAACCTGCATAAGTGCATTCGGCAATATTAGATAGTGCTGCCTCTGATATTCTAGAATTAACTATTGCTACGCGAAATGGTAGTGACCTTTGACCCTTTAAACTCCGTGTGCGTTTGTGCGGTAATCATTATACCCAGCGATAGTTAGTGGCTTCTGTAAGTTAGTAAATCGTACGATAGAGTTAATTGACTGGCAACGTGACGAAAGAAGAAAGTGACTGTGGACTACCTCGAAAGGCGCCCTCAAGTTGGAGCGGTGTCGACGCTCGGGCTGCTGCCGACGGCCAAGGTCTAGGTTCAATCACCATCAGTCACACCCAGATACACACCACATCACCATTCTTTCCCTTGCACTACACAACCACATGTGACCTGACCGACTCCGGAGGGACCAGTCGCCTTGGATAGGTAAGTAAGCTTCATCCAAATTCCTTCCGGTCGACTGGCCGTAATAACGCTCCCCCATATATTTTAATGTAATTAGGAACTTCCACGTGGCCACATTAAGGCCCGACCTACGTCTGTTCGGGAGGTCTTCAGCTCATGGGCCCCTGAAGATTGGATCCTTTAAGGGAGCAGCCGTAGGCCGTAACAATAATAATGGTCACAGATGGTAAAACTATTTTTTATTTTCAATATAACTTCTACATCATAAAACACATAATAAATAATATTGTATTTAAGCAGTCGCAGCTACCGCTTCATCTTCGTCATCACTGTCCTCTTGTACTTCTTTAGACAACTCACGGTCGACATGAACAAATGGATCTATTTTGAGTTTTTCTGTTGAAGGCGGACTAACTATTAGACACCTGTAAAAACAACATTATAATAATACGTGGTATAATATAATCTATATTATAGAGTGAAGAGGAATGAAGACCTGTCTCATATGGGGCTTGAATTGAAGAATTGTATACCAATTTGGGCTAATAATTATTAGCCTTCAGCCCCAACTGTTGGCACTGAGATGAAGTTTTTGAAGTAAAAACTTTTTTAGCCGCGTAGAACGATTTCTGGTAGAGGAAAAACTAATGAGTTTGCGTCACTGCTGACCTCGACATGCTACGAACATGTCTACTACGCGTCGCTAGTCTGGGCTTGCGTCAGACTAGCGACGCGTAGTTTAGCGGCCTGTGTACATGTATATGCATATATATATAAATGCGTTTTCACTTCTGCTGCCACTCCTTATGGCTGCCTCTTTTTGTTAGATAACGTCATTTTACGGAGAAGTTAGTTTTAAATAAAAGCTAGTTCCTAGAGTATTATATTAATACACAGAACATTGTCTGAGTGGTTTGCTGTTTAATTGTTTGAATTTTTAACTCGCTTTTTTTTCTTTTGGGAATACCTTTAGTTTGGTTTATTCATTTATTATCTAGCTTAAACAAATCTTCAAGTTCATTTCGGAAGCGGCACTTGAAGACAACAGCAAGAGAAGAAACCATCAAGAGAAATCAAGAGAATTAATACTCCATTGACGATTGAAGATTCCCCTCTGTGTATATAATTTAGTGAAATCCGCATTGTAAATAGATGAATATATAATCGTCTACAGTACCCTCTTTTCTTAAACAGTCCCTAGTAGAGTCTACCATAAGTAACATCAGTCGTCACACACAGTTAGTCAGTCAAACAGTCAGTTAGTTAAAATCATACAGTCCACTGCAGTCCCTAATAATTTTGGTCCATCGTCGCCGGATTGAAGCCAGAAGAAAGAAGCTGGAAGATCCAAAGACCATATAGAAGAAAGAAGATTATTATAGAAGAAAGAAGATCATTATAGAAGATCATCAAAGAAGAAAGAAGTTCATCGACGAAGAAAGAAGATCGTCGGTTAACTAATTTCATCCCTGTTTCTGACAATACTACGTCTACATCTACGATACAGAGGGACAATGGAGTCGCCGTAGAAATGAACCAGGTGGATCGCCGTGTACGGGTTACGTCGCCGTCGCGCGTCCAATGCCGCACTCTATCGCCTATACGTAGAACGCCATCGCCACATCGCCACGCGGATCGTAGATTACCGTCGCCGTGTTACAAGGATGTAGGTGTACATAGGTCGCCATCGCCACAGCGTAGGTCAGAGGGTAATAGGGATAGAGGTAGGTCGCTCACCCCGCGAGAGAACGATTAGCGGAAGCCTTAGAAGGCATGATAAGACTTAGACCAGCCGCCGCGAAGCAGACACAGGAGTTGCCTATTTTCAACGGCTCGGCCGCGGAATGGTTATCGTTTAAAGCCGCGATGAGGTAGTCCACGCGTCTTTATGGATTCGCCAATACGGAAAATATGGCAAGGTTAAGAAACTGCTTACGTGGTGAGGCTCGAGAGGTAGTATCGGCGCTGCTGTTTACCGCGAAGGATCCAGCAGACATTATGCGGACACTGGAGCAGTGTTTCAGCCGCCCGGAAGTGATTAAAATACGGTCGCGTTGGTGCGATTATGCGGAGCACTAAGGAAGTGCGGACGAACCGGACATTGTTAGACTATCCCAGTTTATGATGAGAGAGGCTGACCGTGCGTTAAGTCACGCCTATACGTCCGTAACGCCGACTAAGGAATTGCCCGTAAGACGAGAAGCACCGCTGTCGAAAAGGATAGTGTTTACACGCCGCGTAGAGGATAGGGCCCGCGACGTAAAGACGTTCACCGCCCAGGAGGACACCGGAAGTGCCTCGTGTATGTGTTGTGGGGGTGAACACCCAATCGCCAAATGTAGGAAGCTGGCCCAAATGGGTCTGGACGACCGGTGGAAGTGGGTAAGGGAAGATGGGGTGTGCTTTAGGTGTTTAAGCAGCAAACACCGACGCCTACGTTGTAAGGCTAGGAAGTGCGACGTCGACGGCTGCAACGCCCCCCACCACGCTCTCTTTCACGCCCGCAAGGCCCGCACGCCTGAAGCGTCGGTAAAACCGGATGAAACCGTGCTCGTCGCGTCGAACGTTAATAGTAGTGCGTCTGTGTTATTGAAAGTGTGCCCCATTACCGTGCGCGGACCGCGTGGTAAGGAAGTTGATACATATGCGCTACTCGACGAATGCTCTACCATATCGTTAATCGAAAACGACTTAGCTCGCGAGTTAGGAGCGGAAGGACCGATAAAGCCGCTCAACATTAGAGGCGTAAATAATAGTCAACGCGAGGCCAATAGCAGATTAGTGAATATAGGAATACGTGGCAAGACGCGCAGTGAGATTTATAATGTAAGCGCGCGAACAATAGTGGATTTAAAAATAGGCTCGCAGTCTGTGAGTAGGGAGTGCTTACGGTTGAAGCACTTACACGACTTACCGAGTGCGGTATGTTACGACGACGCAAAGCCGAGAATATTATTAGACACCGACAACTGGCACTTAATAATCACCCGCAATTTGAGGATAAGACGCCGGAAGCAGCCCATAGCTGCACGGACGTTACTAGGGTGGGCAATTCAAGGGACCGTGCCGCGGTTAACGTGTAGGGAAGACGGCGAGACCGTATTACACGTGTCAAGCACTAGCGGACGGCCAGATGAGGATATCCAGGCGCTCGCCAGTCCGGTTAGGAAGTTTTCACGACTGCCGAGACGCTACGCTCCCACGGGGGGAGTAGTAGGGAACCAACTGCGCGACGATAAGGCGCATACGCATCGCGACGGTAGGGACAGGCCTGCGTTCATAACGGCCAAGGCGAAAGTCGCTCTGATTAAAGCGCAGAGTATACCGCGACTAGAGTTGCAGGCGAATTTGATAGGCGCGCGACTCGCGGAATTCGTGCAAGACGAACACAGAGTGGTAGCAGATAGGGTCGTATATTGGACAGACTCGACTACGGCGCTACACTGGATACAGAATGATACGGCGCGTTACACTCCATACGTGGGTCATCGGTTAGAGGAGATAGCTGAAAAGACATCACCCGAGCAATGGAGGTGGATACCGACTGCAGAGAACATAGCAGATCAGGCCACGCGCATGAACTTCGTAAGCAAAGAAGAAAGAGACCAATGGTTCACAGGACCGTCATTTCTTTACGAGGACGAGGACAGATGGCCTCACCGGAAGGAAGAGAAGGCAGGGGATGATGAAGACTTGCAGGAAATCGTGGCGCACCAGAGCGACACCAAGGACGCTCCACACCTGCCAGACATAGAACGATTGTCTTCTTACGAGAGATTGATCAGGGCCACAGCACGAGCACTGCAGTTCATCGATGCCATACGAAGAAGGGCACGTTTGCGCGACCGTTTACTTACACCGGAGTCGACTATTTCGGACCTTTGATAGTTACGATAGGACGACGGCACGAAAAGCGGTGAGTAGCACTTTTCACGTGCTTAACGACGCGCGCGGTTCATTTAGACCTAGTTTACTCCCTACCAACGGACTAAGCGATATCGGCATTGCGGCGCATGGCAGCTAGGCATGGGTGGCCGCGGGTCATATACTCCGATAACGGCACAAATTTTCATGGAACAGATGCAGAGCTACGACGGGCGATGGAAGAGTGGGCACCGCAGCTAAAGGACTACGCGCTGACTCGACGCACAGAATGGAAATTCATCGCACCGGGCGCGCCTAACCAGGAAGGCGCATGGGAGCGTCTCGTGCGCTCAGTGAAGACCGCACTCGAAGCCAATCTACATCAGAAGAGCCCGCGGGAGGAGACTCTAGCGACGCTCTTGACGGAAGCAGAAAACACTGTCAACTCTCGACCGTTGACGCACATACCAGTCGACATCAACGACAAAGAGGCATTAACACTCAACCACTTCATCCTGTTGGGACCATCGAACCTACCAGTCACCGCGCCGTGCACACCCATCGATCGTCGGGCGTGGAGAGCGGCGCAGGGGCTCGCCGACGAGTACTGGAGGCGCTGGGTGAGAGAGTACCTGCCGACGCTGGTTGCGCGCGGGGACTCCCGAGAGCAGCGACAAATACAAGAAAAGGACCTCGTCGTGGTTGCGGACGGCAACCTACCACGGAAAGTGTGGCCAAGGGGGGTCGTCACGAAGACGTTTCCTGGACCGGACGGCGTGGTGCGCAACGTCGAGATTAGGACCAGGGGACCAACCCACCACCTCCCATGGCCCCACCGACCCTCAAGTCATACGGGCCGAATCTCGGGAGATGCGCGCAGTACTTGCACGTGGCTCTTTCCCGCGCACACTTTCTTGACTCCCTACAAATATTTAATCTATTCCTTGTCCCAGTTTAACGTCATTCTCCCCATTCTGGGGCTGACGACACATTGACGCCTACGCCGTCGGGCCCTCCTACCAGCCTTCCATCCTGCCTTGTCCTGCGATCGTGCCACTTATGCGCAAACTCGCGCAACAGTCCGTAGTTTACCACATCACTGACGATATCCGAGTATTAAACTGGTCCCTGAACCGGACGAACTAGTCCATCCATCATTTTCACTCTTAGGTTATCATACAGAGGATATTCCCATAGAACATGGTGAACATCCTCCTCTGACATACCGCACTCACACATACTAATTTCACACAGTTTCATGTCGCTCAGTCTCTTCCGAAAGCATCCATGTCCGGTGAGAATCTGAGAGGTTTGGTAGTTCGGTAAAACCCAGGTATACCTGAGTCTCAACGCCACGTCCGGGAAAAATCGATGTAGCTCACGTCCTTTTGTATCACACGTCCTTCTATCCTGCCAGGCGCCGATCACCTCAGTCCAGATATCGCGATTCCGTCTGCTCAACTTCTCTTTGGGCGCGGTCAAACGTGCTATACCCATCCTACCAGCACGGATGACCTCTAGGTCAGCAGGGAGAACGCCAGCCAGCACCGATAAGGCTGCGGCGACCAGTAAGGAAGATCGCCGTCTTCCCGAGGGAAGCTTAGGCTCGCATGCTACGCCGGGGGGAGGATGTTACGGACGGCGAGGGGAGCCGCCGCCCCTTCATACCCCGTTGCACCCCGCGCACCCCGCACACCGCCCAAATATCACGTGATGCCTTCGACGAATCAGCGCACGACACTACTCACATGCCGAGACACTCTCTTTAGAGATATAAGAAGGGCGTTTTGGTCTGTGAGCTGTTCATTTCGGAAGCGGCACATGAAAACAACAGCAAGAGAAGAAACCATCAAGAGAAATCAAGAGAATTAATACTCCATTGAAGATTGAAGATTCCCCTCTGTGTATATAGTTTAGTGAAATCCGCATTGTAAATAGTTGAATATATAATCGTCTACAGTACCCTCTTTTCTTAAACAGTCCCTAGTGTAGTCTACCTTAAGTAACATCAGTCGTCACACACAGTTAGTTAGTCAAACAGTCAGTTAGTTAAAATCATACAGTCCACTGCAGTCCCTAATAGTCTTCATGGCGAGTTTAGTTAAAAAAAAGTACAATTTTATATTTTGAAGGTCGAACACGAACACGTTGCGGCCTGTCAACTTATGCACTGAACTAAACTCGCTCGTTCACATGAACGGCGAGTTTAGTTGCGGGTGGTGGGAGACGCACGGTATAGCAACACTTCGAACTTAACTCGCCGAAAAATAGACCGGCCTGCTATCCCGTTCAAGTTATTGGTAATAACTAACAAACTTAACCCACCAATTGCCGTTCAAACGAGATTTTACTTAACTCCGCAGATTCGCAAGTTAACTCGCTACTGTACTTGTCGAAACGTAAATCGGCCTTTATTGCGGGGCGACTGTAGGAAAAAGACGCGTGTTTGGGCGAGCCTAATGATTGAATTAGTGAACGTAATAATGAACAATACAATTTCTATAACAACAATTAATTTTTCTAACAATTTAACCATGAGCCATGAGATCTGTCAAATATTTCATATTATTCAAAAAAGACGCCACCCTGTGTGAACGCCCGTATTATATCTATCATCATCATTACAGCCCTTCACAAGTCCATTGCTGAACATAGGCCTCCCCCAAAGAATGCCACAAAGCACGGTCCTGAGCCACCTGCATCCATCGACTTCCTGCATATCTTACCAGGTCGTCACTCCATCTAGTGGGGGGACGCCCTACACTTCGCCTGCCGGTACGAGGCTGCCACTCGAGAACCTTTCTTCCCCATCGGTTGTCGGTCCTTCGAGCTATATGGCCGGCCCATTGCCACTTCAGCTTACTAATCCGTTGGGCTATGTCGGTCACTCTAGTTCTACTGCGGATATCCTCATTTCTGAGTTTATCACGCAGTGACACTCCGAGCATAGCCCTCTCCATAGCTCGCTGAGCGACCTTGAGCTTCCTCATCCGGCCAGCAGTGAAGGACCACGTCTCAGTTCCGTATGTCATCACTGGCAACACGCACTGGGTGTACAGTCTCGTTTTCAAGTTTTGAGGTATACCTGACGAGAAGATGTGCCGTAATTTCCCGAACGCTGCCCAACCGAGTTGAATCCGTCGATTGACCTCTCGGTCGAAGTTGGACTTACCTAGTCGGACTGTTTGTCCCAGGTAAACATACTCGTCAACAACTTCGAGCTTAGTGTTCCCAACAACTACCGGCATAGGCGTGACATGGACATTAAACATGATCTTTGTTTTGTCCATGTTCATCTTAAGACCTATCCGTTGGGAAACACTATTGAGGTCATTGAGCATAGTGCTTAGGCCCTCCAGCGATTCTGCCATAAGGACTATATCGTCGGCAAATCGAAGGTGAGTGATGTACTCGCCATTGATGTTGATACCGTATCCTTTCCAGTCCAGAAGCTTGAAAACGTCTTCCAATGCAGCGGTAAAGAGTTTCGGGGATATGACGTCACCCTGTCTTACACCTCTCTGCAATTGGATAGGTTTCGTACTCTGGTTCTGTACTCGGATAGCCATCGTAGCCGTACTGTACAAGCACTTCAACACTTCGATATACCGACAGTCAACTTGGCATCGCTGAAGGGACTGCAACACCGCCCAAATTTCGACGGAATCAAAGGCTTTCTCATAGTCCACATACCCCAGACATAGTGGCAAATTGTACTCCTCGGACTTCTGTACAATTTGCCGAAGGGTATGTATGTGGTCTATGGTGCTAAAGCCTTTTCGGAAACCGGCTTGTTCGGGAGGCTGGAAGTCGTCAAGTCTGCGCGCGAGACGATTCGTAATGACTCTCGAAAACAGCACGTAGACGCGGCTCAGAAGGGAAATCGGTCTGTAGTTCTTCAAGAGAGCGTTGTCGCCTTTCTTGAAGAACAAGACCACCGCACTTCTGCTCCACGCCTCCGGTGTAATGCCACCATGGAGGACGGAATTAAAGAGCTTCTGAAGGACTTCAAGTACCGGTTTTCCACCCGCTTTCAGAAGCTCAGCTGTAATTCCATCCTCGCCTGGGGCCTTGCCGTTTTTAAGGTGCTGGAGAGCCATTCTAATCTCGCTCAGACTGACGTCCGGGATATCATCGGAATAATGTCGGATAAGACTCGCTCTTGGATCGTTACTCACACTTGCGTGCGGCTCCAACGATGACGTGTACAGCTGCCCATAGAACCTCTCAATCTCACTCAAAATCTCAGGTGCCCCGGAAACGATGCTGCCACATTCTGTCTTCAGCTTTGACAGTTGGCGCTTTCTGGCAGACAGATCTCTGGCAAAGACTTTGGAGCCTTGGTTCCGCTCGATCGCTTCTTCAATACGAGCTGTATTGAAGTTGCGTAAGTCCCGCCGCATGCACTTGGAAATCTGTCTGTTCAGTTGCCTGTATGCTGTCAAATCTGTTGAAGAATGTAGCTTCATCTCCCGTCTAACAGCCATGAGATTAAGAGTGTGATCGGAGAGTTTTTGTGTTCTTCTGCGGCGGGTCTTGCAGAACTTAGCTCCGACCGCATGGACAGTTTCCACGAGCTTGTCATTCAAATCGTCCACTTCATTGCAGTCTTCTAGGCACTGAAAACGGTTTTGTAACTCGAGCTGAAAGGTTTCGGGACTTTGGATTAGAGCACGAGGGGGACGGAGCGTTGACTTCATTAGACGAGACCTCTCCAATTTAACGTTTAGGTTCAGTGTGCCTCTAACCATTCGGTGATCGCTGCCGGTTTTCACCCTCGCGATCACTGAGACATCACTGAACAGTTGTCGTCTGGTCGTCATAATGAAGTCAATCTCATTTTTTGTCGAACCGTCAGGGCTCGACCAGGTCCACTTCCTGTGGGGCCGCTTCTGGAAGAAAGAGTTCATCATAAAGAGTCCCTCTTTCTCCATGAAGTCGGCCAGCTGCTGGCCCCTTGGGTTCCGTTGGCCTATTCCAAATTTCCCTACTTTCAGCTCACCGTTCTCTCTTGTGCCTAGTTTTGCATTGAAATCTCCCATTAACACCGTATATTGGGTTTTGGAGGAATGCATGGCTCTAGAGATATCCTCATACATTTCATCCACCTCCTAATCGGGGTGTGCCGAGGTTGGTGCGTAAACCTGTATGACCTTCAGCGAATACCGTTTGGTGATTCTGAGTATAAGGTACGCAACCCTCGTCGACACACTCTCAATCTTTACAACGTTGTTAACGAGAGACTTGTGGACGATAAATCCGACACCTCCTTGGGACAGATGGTCGCCCTCCCGGTAATAGAGCAAGTTGCCGGATTCGAGGATTACCGTGTCCTCCCCCTCTCTTCGGACTTCGGATAATCCTATAATATGCCAGCGTAACTTGTCTATCTCTTCTTCCAGCTCTACAATCTTCTCGTCAGTCCTCAGGGTGCGTGCGTTGTATGTTGCCAGGTCGAGTCGTCGTTGGTGGCAACCGAACCTCCACCGGAGATTCTTAGCACCCCCCGCCCCGCCGTTACCATAGTCGCCACCGTAGCCAGGAAAAGCGGGGCCGCCGGGGACTGGGGGCCGTTTATTATTGTCATTGCTCATGGGGGGTATATTGCCATAGTTGCCACGCTTGGCGAGCGGGTTGGCAACCGCAGTTTTTTATTGTTATTTTGGCTGTTATCAGGAAGATGCTGCTGCCCATCTCCTGCCTGTTTCCCTTTGTCGCCTTTTACGACACCCACGGGAGGATATGGGGTAGTGGATATTCTTAACCGCCACTACACGGCAATTATATCTATAGCAGATGCTAATATTGTTTCCAAACTAAAGAGAGACAACAGGCAAACTAAACACATGCTAATTAGCACCTTATGTTTTTATTGCATTCTAGAATTTATAATTTAAAATTTTGTACAACCGACTTCAATATAAATTATTAAGAATAACTCCCAAAACTATTGGTCAGACCTTGATCAAATTTATGTGGGACCACATGAGAAGCACCAGCTTTTAAATGAAAAGAGTATCATCGAAATCGGTTCAACCAGAAAAAAGTTATCCGGTAACACATAAAAAACATACAGTCGAATTGAGTACCGTTTCCTTTTTGAAGTCGGTAGAAAAGAAAAGAGAACTGACATAGAATTCGAGGATGCTGTAAGTGATCTGCAGCAGGAGGGTTATCGAATAAAGACATACTTCATAGTCTATATATATATTACCTTGTAATAAAAAGTCCTTCTCTCTTTGGTCTTGCAGACTGAATATCCTTGAGTAAGACATCAATATTCTCAGCAATTTGCTTTGCATCCATATTTAACTAAAAAAAAAATAACATTTTGTATGAATATTTCAGTTTTCGTAGTAACTTTAGTATAAATTCATGCATTTGTTACAGCCTTATAGTCCACTGCTGCACATAGGCCTCCTAAGGGATTTTCTGTAAGAGTAGGAAAGAGTGGTTCCTAGGAGTTTGTCTGGATAGGGGTCACCCTCTTACCTATAGGCTGTAGATGGAACCAATGTTAACATTAACTCACAAACTGAAAAGAAAGCAAGTCATTTAACAGAATTGGAATTGGCTTATTAACTTTATTTAAATGTCATACAATAACCCTCAACAATCCTTTTAGTTGTTTCAATTAATTACCGATATACATATACATACATATAAATATAATCACGCCTCTTTCCCGTAGGGGTAGGCAGAAACCACTTCTTTCCACTTGGTACGATCCTTACATACTTGTTTCGCTTCGTCCACTTTCATTATTCTCTTCATACATGCTCTTCGGTTTAGGGTACTCTTGACCTGACCTTTTTTTAAGACGTCCCAGATTTGATCTAAAAACGTCCGCCTAGGTCTACCCCTTCCAACACTTTCATTCACACTCGCCTTATACACTTTTTTAGTCAATCGTTCTTCATTCATTCTCTCGACATGGCCAAACCATCTCAGCATACCTTTCTCAATTTTTGTCACTACATCTTCTTTCAGACCACAACGTTTCCTTATCTCACTATTTCTTATCCTGTCACTCAGTTTAACTCTTATCATACTTCTTAACGCTCTCATCTCAACTGCATTTATTCAGCTTTCATGTTTCTTCTGCCATACCCAACTTTCACTTCCGTACATGAGTGTTGGAACCAACACCCCCTCATGCACAGCCAAACGAGTCATGTTAGACATCTTCCGACTACTCATAAAGGAGTGCAAAGCTCCATTCACCATGTTTCCTGCATTCCCTCTTCTTTCGATATCACTCTCACAGTTTCCATCTCTCGTAAACTTTGAACCCAGATACACAAACTCTTTCACCTGTTCATTTGTTCTTCTCCAATCACGATATTGCAGTCTGTCACTGCCTCATCTCTTTCAAACACCATCACGTTTGTCTTCTTTACTTTCATCTTCATTCTCTTTCTAACAAAGGATCCAGTCATATCAGTTACCATATCCTGCAACCCCTCGGCCAAAGACGCAAGTAGCACTTGGTCGTCAGCATAGAGAAACCATTTGACGAGTAACTCATTCATTCTCAAACCGATAACAAGTGAAAATTAAAAAAAAATTGTATAATTTTTTTTTAAATACTCTTTTTAATCATAATATTCTTGCATTGAGCTATATTCAAAATTTCAAATTTTTAGGTCATCGAGAAGTTAATTTGAAGTCAACTACTACATCCCACTAGGAACGACAGACAGATAGACAAACACGAAGTGACAATAAAAACGCGGTAAAAAAAAAACCTTCCGCAGAAACAAAATAGAACTTTACATAGATTGTAATTTATAACATAATGTAACATACCCTTCCAACTGGCACTTCCACAGACCCATAGTTTTCCTGTTGTTCGTCCTTTGTCACTCTAAACTGAATACCGGCTGCGAACTTTTTGACTAGATCACAGAGGTTTGGGTCCAACGTTCCATTACGGATATTGGGGAACCTTTTTTTCATCAGACCGCGTATTGGTACCAATTCGGTGATCATATTAGGGTGAGCAATTATGTAATCATAATCATACAGTTTTAGTTCTCCCTCCTAAAAATAATAAGTTATAAATGTTCATCGGATATAAAATTGCTGTATATACAACATGTAACGAAATCCATGTGGTTCCCGATAAGTGCGTTATCAGAATCAGTATTCAAACGTATATAAATAACTTTTTTTTTCAGAAAAATCGACCATTAAAAAAACTTATTTTATTAAAAAATTGTAAATTGTATGTGGTTTTCTTACCTATGTATTGTCTGGGGAGTAGACGATTGTCAAAGACCCTGCTTTACCGATGCTCGTGTCGGTTAGAGGTAATAAAACCACATAAAATTTCCAAATTACTTTTTTAGTGAAAATAAAATTTTTTCATGGTCGAGTTTTTTTGGAAAAAAATATTTCTATACGTTTGAATACTGATTCTGATAACGCAGTTAACAGGAACCACAGGGTATTTGTTATATATATATATGCACTGTGATCACAAATTTCTAAATCTTTCAGTGTTTTTTTTTTTAATGTAATCTATATCTATACAAATAAATAAAATTGAAGTGTCTGTTTGTAATGTCAAAATTACAGTTTTTTACTAAATGCATATGAAAGTAAATACGATACCTATAACTAAAATACAATTTTTAAAATTTTTGTCTGTCTGTCTGTCTGTCTGTTTGTTCCGGGTAATCTGCGAAACGGCTGGACCGATTTTGATGGGACTTTCACTGGCAGATAGCTGATTTCATAAGGAGTAACTTAGGCTACTTTTATTTTAGAAAAAGAATCAGGGTTCCGCGCAGAAACATAAAAACCCTAACACGCGAACGAAGTCGCGGGGAACAGCTAGTCCTAAATAACTATGCTATTGATTGCAGTCACAAATACAATAAACCTAGCAAGCTAACAGCATAGCAAAGTGGCGAAGCAATTAGCTTTGTAGCGGTTTCTAACGATTGCCGTTGAGCAATCAGTTTCAAAATAGGAGGTTCAGATGCCTGGGTGATCAGTAATCGATTGCTGAAAACAGAATTTGAAAATTCGAAACCGTTCTCGAGATAATCGTGGGACAGACGGACAGACGGACAGACATCGTGAAATCAATAAGTGACTTCGCAAGCTTCGCCACTTAATAATTAATATTGTGAGTTAGTACATAAAAAGTAAAGTTTAATTAAGTCATGGTTAAAAACATTTTAACAAATAACTTTGACGCCTTGTCTTTAAAAAAAATGTGCTATATTACCATAGGCAAGTTGTTTTAAAAAATGGCCGATTTAATTAAGATTTCAAAATAGTACATCATTTGCTACTTATCTTTCCATAAAAAGTATTATTGCATATTTACTTCCAAAAGGACTTTTACCTGAATAGTACTTGTGTGCAAAAGCATTTGCTTTATTATTGTGTAAGCGAAACAGACAGATGTGATAGTGAGATAGAGTTACGCTGTTCAAAGTGCAATAGAGTGGGATAGACTGACATATTGTTTTTAGAGAAAGCGAGACGGTTAGTGATGCCGATGCGATAGTCAAACTGATTATTAAGTGGCGAAGCTTGCGAAGTCACTTATTGATTTGATGTCTGTCCGTCTGTCCGTCTGTCCCACGATTATCTCGAGAACGGTTTTGAATTTTCAAATTCTGTTTTCAGCAATCGATTACTGATCACCCAGGCATCTGAACATCCTATTTTGAAACTGATTGCTTCGCCACTTTGCTATGCTATTAGCTTGCTAGGTTTATTGGTTATTAATTACTAGCTGTTCCCCGTGACTTCGCCCACATAATATTTGGGGTTTTAATTTTTTGACGTGGAACCCTAATTCTTTTTCTAAAATAAAAGTAGCCTAAGTTACTCCTTGTGACATCAGCTATCTGCCAATGAAAATCCCGTCAAAATCGGTGATGCCGTTTCGAAGATTAGCCGGAACAAACTGACAGACAGATGGATAGACAGACAAAAACTTTAAAAATTGTATTTTTGTTATTAGTACCGTATACACTTTCATATACATTTAGTAAAAAGCAGTAATTTTAACATTACAAACAGACACTTCAATATTATTTATTTGTATTAATATTAATTAATATTAATTATTATCATTCAGTACGCTTTGTTCCTTCGTTTACTGTGCATCTCCTGGTAATCGCGTAACTTTCGTACTGACAACTTTGGCTTGTGTTACCTGTATTTGATATCGCATTTGAGTTGACGACTTTGGCTGCGTTTCCCTGAACTTTATTATTTATTGTTCTGCCAAAATGCCGTATGTGTATACTGCGCAAGAATATGCGAACATGCATATTATCTACGGTGAATGCCATTGTAACGACTCTGCCACAGCCAGATTACAGATACCCAAATGCGGCTCGTCACACAGATCACCGCGTGTTCATCAATGTGCACCAGTCGTATTCGCAAGGACGAATGCCAAGTGTTCGTAAGTCAGGTAGGAGACCACGACGAAGCGAAGATGACGTATTTTTAAATGAAATTGAAAATGATCCCAGCACTTCAGTAGTTGCAATTGAAAGAGACACTGGAATACTGGAAAGTATTGTTCATCGAATTTTCTCCTTTTTGTGAAGCTTTGGTATCCATTCTTTGTTTGTTTCACGAAGTTTTTTAAGCGCTTTTTTTACGCCACCCGAACTCTTTGTGCTTTTCTAATGTTTGCAGTCTCTTGGTTTTCCTGTCTTTCCTGATGTTCCCCCTGATTTCTTTGCTTAATTCCGTTATAGCTCTGATATTTTCTTTTTTAGGGTGCTTTGAAAGCAAGTTTTTCCTCCTATCTATGAGTTGTAGTGTTTTGTCACTTAAATTGCACTTATTCGCTTTACCGTGCTCACATTTAACTTGCGTTTGTATTTTTTCCAGCTTAGCATATTTTGTGAGAGCATCAGAGTCGTCTTTCGTTATTTCTTCAGCTGATTCGATAAGGGATTGGGATATATTCTTTAGGGTTTGTTTATTGTAGTGTTCAGTTTTGTTTGGAGCTATATGTTTCTTAGACATTTACAGTGGTTCTATTCGTAGGGTGCTTCTTACATGAAGCAAATACAAAGAGGAGACGTTGTAATTAAATTTCACTATGTAACAACGCGTGACAATTTGCGGGGTGAGGGGATGCAAAGCCCCGCCCACTTTACACTATCTATATCTACCGATAAATAGTAAAACTACTCGAATCTTTCCATATCGATGTTGCAATGTAGCTTAGCTACCTTGACGGTAGATGGCGGCATGTCCACAAAATGTTATAAACTATAAAAATAATATTTAGCCGATTAAAATTTCTTTATGTCTGAATGCAAAACAAATTTCAGCACCTTCGTATGATTATTTTACAAAATTCTTGTTTTTTGTCAAATCTTGCTCGCTCTACATAGTTCAGTATGTTGGGTCTGATAATCTCTTTCGTATAAGTTTTGGGTATTGGCTGTTCTTGGTTACGCAGGATTTTGCTAGTGCTAACTAGCTTCTGTAACGTTGAAGTAGAAGCAGAATTGGGAGAGGTCGCTTTTCTCTCTTGTTGTCCTTCGGTTTATACACTATCAATTTGTCGAACTTTATGCAAGCAACGTTTTCTTTTTTCTCTTCTTCAACTTGGGGTTTCCTTGGAGTAGTCCTCCTTGATATTTATGCCTGATGGAAGATTAGGCATGTTTTTGAGTATTAAATGTTTTTTCCATTGGGTCGTGATGGAGACTACAACTGGACGATTTTTGTCCTCCGTTTGTTTCCCTACTCTAAATACATTGCTAATCTCTTGGCTGACCATGTGTACTCCCATTTCTTCTATGATTTCTTTTATGTAATTTACCAGTTCTCCTTCAGATTTCCCCTTTTCCTCTACTCCAAAAAACACCAGGTTAATCTTACGTCTCTCTCTATCCGCTCCTTTAAGTTTGTGTTCGAGTTCCGATACTTTCTTTTTGATGTATTCGTTCTCTTCGGTAATTGATCTCATTTTCTCGTCTAGCGCTTCCATAACGCTCCTGGTTACCGAATGAGTTATATTTTCGACTTGTTTCTCTAATTTCTCATCGAGTTTTTGTAGAAGCAATTCCATGTTTCTATCCATTTTGTAGTTGGTTCAATATTTTTTTTGATAGAAAATTTAAAGTTTGATGTGGTATCCCTGAGTGGTAGAAATATTTTTTGTTTCAGTGGCAACACTTTTGTTATTGTGTCACTTTTACTTGGTTGGCGTCAGGTTGTCACTAATGATTTGGTTAAGTTTTGTTGTATTGTCAATACCGATAGTCAAAATTGCCCTTTTTGAGGTTATAATACCGAAAGATCTTTGGAGTTTTTTTCCTTGTAAATATCGTTGCACTTTCACAGTGTCCACTTCACCTTATGTATTTTGACTTTGTTTGTTATTTTTACGTATCACTTCACGGATTTATCACTGTTTTACACTTCTTTTGATATTATATCACGGATACTGTTGACGTACGTGTTTACTGTTGAGTTGCCGGAACCGGAAAAAACACAAGTCAACACAACACAGTCATCTATTGGAAGCCAAAAGATCTTTGTCATTTTCAATCAACTTCAATTTATACTTTCTTAGGGCAACCACGGGGACAAATAGGACGACGAATTATTTTATTTTGCCACTACACGATGACTAATTTATCGCGTAACATACATGCAAAAAAGAGAAAAGAAAAAGACAGTCGAATTGTAAGCTTACTACTTTTGTTTAGGTCGAATAGTAAAAAGCATACCGTTATTAAAATTTCGTGCGAATCAGCATATTATTGCATACCAATTTTCGACCAATAATAACACATAAATTTCTTAAAAAAAGACAAAAATAATATTAGAAAAATAATATTAACCTGTATTTTTTTTACAATCTCCGAGGCACCCGCAGTCGTAGCTCCAGCTTCAAGGGCTTGTTTGATAAGTTCAGGACCTTTGCAAAATGCGAGTATAGTTCGTTCTTCATCTCGTGGGAAATAGTGGGGTAACAAAGTAAGACGCGTAAAATTATCTAGATATCGGTTCTGAAAATATAGATGTGTGTTAGGTATTGTCTTACTAATTTAAAAAAAATGTTTGGTTAGCATATAATTAAAAACAACGAAGAAACAAATTAATGTATTTACAAAATATCATTAGGCGGAAATACTTACGTAAATTATAATAAGAAACTTATTAAAGTTATAAACGTAAACTTACGTAACGTACGATATAGGTGCAATTTAATTAAACAAACTTTTTTTTTATAGGACAGGGTGACAAACGAGCACACAATTCACCTGATGGTTAGTGGTTGCTGTTACCCATAGACATCTACATTTATCCTCAATAAAGGATCAAAATGCAGATGCGTGAGGACTAAGATGGAATGCCTCTTTTCCAGTAAAATAGGTCTTCGGTTCTTTACACTCACCATACGAAACACAGCAGTGTCAAGCTGCCATTTTACGCTGGTATTCTGTGAGTGTGGTCGTTCCCCGGTCGAGCCGACCCATTCGTGCTACAACTATACTACTAATATAGCTGCAGCGTGACTCTACCACGTAAAACTTTGCAGTAACCCTCACATTACAACATTATTATTCTTGTTACCTTTTTAACGGCTTCCATGTTCATTTCAATTTTGGCATACACAAGTGCATCTGGCACGTTGTACATGGTTGGGTGGTGTGTCTCCTGGTGCGCTTTGACTGCTTCCTCCGCAGTGTACACAACCCAACGATAGTACCGCATTGGGTACACGTCATCTTTAGACACCTGCTTGAAGGAATCATCTAGATGCTTGTTTACTACTACTTTAGCTGCCCTGGAAGGTTAAATGGATATAATTGTATACTCCTATGTATTAAATAAATAATTTAGAATATTTTATTACAATAAAGAATAATTCATAAAGATTGTAAAACCAGATAATATTCAAATTTATTAATAACTAGCTGTTTCTCGCGTCTTCGCCCGCGTGTTATTTGGGGTTTTAATTTTTTTTTTGCGCGGAACCCTAATTCTTTTTCTAAAATAAAAGTAGCCTTAGTCACTCCTTGTGACTTCAGCTATCTGCCACTGAAAATCACGTCAAAATCGGTTCAGCCGTTTCGGAGATTAGCCGGAACAAACAAACAGAGACAAAAACTTTAAAAATTGTATTTTTGTTAGTAATACCGTATATCAGTATATACTTTCATATGCGTTTAGTAAAATGCTGTAATTTTGACATTACAAACAGACACTTCAGTTTTATTTATTTGTATAGATGATTGTGACCAAGATTTATAAATAGCAGAATATATTATGTAAATTTACTCTTAATCAACCACAAATTTGCACTTGCACTTAAAATGAAATGCACTTAAAAACGTATTCAATGAAAAGTAGCGTGATTTATGGAAAAAATCCAAAATATAACTCTCAGGCCTCTGCCTCGAATTTTGCGGGCAGCGGGGCGGCGGCGGTGGCGACGCGAGATCGGGGCGGGCAACGCAAACCCGTTCTCGAAACCAGCGGGCAGATCGCGCGACACTATAGCGGCGTAGTGATGTGTTCATGGTTGTGTTGTCGAGATATTTGTTTTTATTATATTATGTCTGAACAACGGCGACAACATCTTTTTGATTTAAATATAGTCATAACGCTCAACTTATTGTGGGCAAAAGAAGTGAATCCCTACTATAAGGCAACGAAAAAAAAGGCGAGTTTTATCGAAATTTCGATATCGAAGTACGACGATTAGTTATTTCTACTTACTTTTTATTATTTGACAGTATTTTTATTATAAGGTTGATATACCTAGTGTTGAGTATTATACCCATACATATATGATTCATTAGAAGGGTACATGCCTTCATTTACACTTAACTCGTCTAGAAGAGCTTGATTAATTTTTTGTCTCACGCTAAACTTTTGTACTTGCGTGAATTATTCCATTTGTGGAATTAAACTCGTTAAAAAGTAGTATTCTAAAATAAATTTGCTCTTGCACGTTCGAGGACATTTCGACACGTCACAAAAATAAATTGCACAACACTGCAATGCAGACGCGCGGGCGGTCACCGCTTGAATGGAGTGCACCGCGCGTTGCCCGCCCTCGCGCCGCTGTGTTCGAGGGTCGGGCCACTTGATTTTACGGATAAAATCCTGCCGCTCCCGCGCCGCCGCCGCCGCTACCCCGCTGCCCGCAAGATTCGAGGCAGAGGCCTACAACTACTGCAATGTAAATGAAAATATTGATTTTTTTATAGGGTAGAGGGCAAACGAGCATGCGGCTCACCTGATGGTAAGTAACTACCGCCGCCTATGAACAACTTCAACACCAGGGGAATTGCCGGTGTGTTGCCGGTCTTTTAAAAAAGAGTACGCTATTTTCTTGAAGGTCCCTAAGTGGTATCGGTCTGGAAAAATCGCTAGTGGTAATCGATTCCACAGGGAAGTTGTGCGAAGAAGACAACATCTTCTAAATCGCAGTGGTGGACCGCCAATCATCCAGATGGTATCGTGAGTTTTGTCGCGATGTGCGATGGTGAAATTGAGCGGCTGGAATTAGTCCGAACAATTCCTCAGAGCACTCCCCGTGGTACATGCGATAAAATACGGAAAGAGATGCAACATCTCTACGCAGTGCCAGTGAGTCAAGACGATCGGAATGAACTCGATCGTCGACGATTCGAACCGCTCTGCGCTGGATGCGGTCAAGTGGAAGGAGCTAGCACTGAGGAGCCCCTGCCCAGAGATGGGAACAGTATTCCATGTTTGGCCGAACCTGCGCTTGTAAAGTTCCACGCGGTGTGCCGGCATGAAATACTGTTCCGCTATGCTGAGCACGCTAAGCTTTTTAGAGGCCAATTTGTCCTTCTCTTCCAAGTGAACACGAAACTGCACGGTACTCGATATGTCGACGCCGAGTATTTCGATACTGGCTGAAGCAACAAGGGCCAAGGGCCTTGAAACCGAGGAGACACGACAAAGGGGGTTCCTTTTAGCGGTAAACGCGCAAACTTGTGTCTTTTCGGGATTGAACTGGACTAGATTTAGTCGCCCCGAATCCAAGACTTTGTTCAACAAAGTCTCGACTTCCGACAAAAGTTTGTTCCGGTACTCGGCGACGTTTTCCCGAGAAATACTGGCACGGCCGGTGTATAAACCATTACCAGTGCTGTCATCTGCATAGCAATGTATGTTACCGGTTTGCAACATATGCAGAAGAAACACCGTTGGTGATAGCACGAAGTCTTGTGGAACACCAGCGTTAATAGGCTTGTAATGGGAGCACGCACCGTCTACTACGACCTTGATGTTCCGATCAGCCAGAAAACTGGTAATGCAATTTCTTGGGACGCCCATAGGAAGGAAGCTTCGAAAGAAGCGCTTTGTGCCAGACCCGATCGAAGGCCTTCGCTATGTCCAAACTAACGGCCAATGGGAGGCTTGTACTCGATCGATTGAATCGATCGCCTGCGCCCATCTATGTTTTAGGTAAACAAGAAGATCACCAGCTGAGCGACCCCGACGGAAACCGTACTGGCAGTCAATAATCAGCTGGTGCTCCTCAAAGTACCGCATGAGCTGGCAGTTAATAATGGACTCCATTATTTTCGAGAACAAGGAGGTGATGGCGATAGGCCTGCAACTGGACGGATCAGAGCGGTTACCATTTTAAAGGATCGGGTGCACGAAAGCTGTCTTCCACGAATTCAGGACAACGTCTAGGGAGTAGGAGAAAAAGACGCGCTAGAACCGGTGCCAACTCCGGAGCACACGTTCTCAGCACAATTAGGGGGATTCCGTCAGGCCCACTCGACTTCTGGATGTCCAGGGAGAGGAGTGCTTTGCGAGCCGAGCGCTGTGAGAACCGCACATCCAGCATGGAGCACTCACACCACGGGATGGTCAGCGGTGTGTTCCACCCGTCATCAACAGTCGAGTTGGACGCAAAAAGGGAGCCTAAAAGGTCGGCTTTCTCTTTTGCGGCCTGGGCCAGTGAGTCATTCTCCCTGTGCAGAGATGGCAGTGATGGCTTACAGAAATTCCCTTGGACAGCCTAGGCGAGAGACCGAAGGAAGGCGAACTAGTTTCTCGCCAATTCTGCCTATGTGCTCTGACTTTGCCTTGGCAATAACTCTTTTAAAGGACCTGGGGGCGAATTTATACTTCTTTTTAAGCATGCTGGTGTTTACATCCCAAGCCGCCGAAGCCTTATCCCAGGCCCGATAACACTCCTGCTTACTACGTAATGCAGTCTTACAGGAGCGACTAAACCAAGGCCGAGATCTACCACCGATAGGTACCACAGATGATGGAATAAATAGTTCCATTCCCTGTAGCACCACATCGGTGACAGAGTCAGCAACAGCGCTGGGATCATCCGGCGAAAAGCAAACCCGCTCCCATGGTTAAGATGCAACGACAGACCGCATTCCATCCCAATCCGCCGACCTGTAATGCCAAACACGGAGGCAACCTGCAGAACGCAACCGCGAGGAGAGCATGAGTGGCACTACACTCTGGATCAGACAATGGTCCAAAGAGCCGAGAGGGGCATCGACGGATTTCTAAATATCCGTCCGGATGAGAGGTCTGCAGAAGATCCAACAGGGAAGGTGTATGATCCTCCACATCTGGTATCCGCGTAGGCGAAGTAACCAGTTGTGTCAGACCATACGCTAAAGCAAAGCCATAAACAGATCTCCCCGTATGATCGGTTAAACGTGAACCGAGCCATTCAGCGTAGTGGGCGTTAAAATCGCCAAGTATCACGATCTCTACGGATGGGATCTGTTGTAGCAAGAAATCTGTAGCCATTTGGACGTGGTCGATGAGTCTGTCTGTGTCGGCATTATCGCTATGGGACCTATACAGGCACCCGTAGACGCTGGGATGGTCGTCGCTGTCTACATGCAGCCATAGGATGGACAGGTCCATACCTTCAAGACTGCCGAGGCGTCGAGAACAGATATCCTCTCTGACGTATACGCAAACACCAGCCCGGGGTACAAAGAAGTGTTCTAATTTGTACCTCGGGTAGGACAGGTACGAAGTATCAACCAGAGAGGACAAATGCGTCTCGGTCAAAAAGAGCAAGGCCGGCTTCGCCGTATCTAGATGGTCGTGGACGGCGTTAAGGTTCGAGTGAAGGCCCCTGATGTTGCAGAAGGCCACGGATAGCGTGGATCGCCATGATTTTACTGCTCTGTTTGCCCCGTGAATACGCGGGGAGGCCTGTGCACCCACGCTCATGAAGTAGAGGGTAGCTGATTTATTTTGTAATTACTTTTTTTTTCTTGTAATCGTTAATGTAGTCATAGGTTCCATATAGAAATAAAAAACAAAAACAAATTTTTTCTGTGTGTTTGTTCTGGCTAATCTCCGAAACGGTTGGACCGATTTTGATGGGAATTTCTTCGTCAAGCAGATGATGTTATAAGGTGTGACTTAGGCTACTTTTGTTTAACAAAAAATTAGGGTTCCGCACACAAAAATTAAAAACCTAAATTATATGCAGGCGAAGTCGTGGGGAACTCCTAGTTTGTACTAAAGATGTTAAAAATTAATAAGCTAAGATCTGTATATATATATATATATATATATATATATATATATATATATATATATATATATATAATACAATTTTGTACAACCAACTTCAATATAAATAAAATGAGAACATCATCAATGTAGTCAAAGTCAATTAAATATGTATTATTAAAGATAACTTAAAAACTACAGGTCAGATCTTGATCAATATTCATTACAAAATCATTACACATAAACTATACTTTTCTGTCAGGGGGGAAGGATAGGGTTGAGGTTAACGTT